TAGACCACGAATATCGAGCATATAAAATATTATGCAGCATATTTTATACAATTCATGCGCCCGAAGACTTTGCTGCAGGTAATGTTTAAAAAACACTAAACATTCATATCCATTAAGGTAGTATTAACCTATATAAATTAACGATATTTCGTGTGCTTTCAAACATTGGTTTTTAATCAGGGCTTGCATTTGAAAAAAAAATTGTTTTACGTTATTTACAATTAAAACGTTATACAAATTTTGAGTTTATCGTTATTTAGAATTAAAATTTTTAATATATTTTATAAATTATAACTATCAAATAAATGGAAATTAATAATTTCATTTAATGATATACTATATTTAACGTTCAGCGTTATGTTTTGTATTATGATATATCATATATTTTGTTAATCGTTATGTTTTGTTTTGTGTTATTGAACTATTTATGTTTATCGTTTTCCGTCATAATTACGTTACAAATCTCAATCGTTTTTTGTAAAATATAATGCCTGCAAGCCCTGTTTTTAATTGAATTTATTTCAATCTTTATCAAATAATATGATAATTTACGAGTATACCAAGTACAATAGTATACATTATAAAGATGTCATAATTAAGAGGACGTGATACCCGCATGTGTTGTCTCCATCTTACAAATGCGTAACATGGCAAATTTTACGCTCAGTAGATCACGTTTTGCTCCGTTAGTTTAAAAATTAGAGTTAATTGACCTCTTATAAAATTTAAAGGTAAAAATATTATTTAGATAACCTCATAGGTTTTTTACTATATTTTAATTTTGAAGCGAATTATAAATATTTTAAGATGTATAACAAATTTACAATTTTAAAATACTTATAATTCGTTTCAATATTAAAATATATTAAAAAGCCCTCGAGGTCTTCTAAATAATATTTTTACCTTTAAATTTTATAAGAGGTCGATTCACTCTAATTTTTAAACTAACGGAGCAAAACGTGATCTACTTCGCGTAATATTTGCTACGTTATCCACTTGTAAGACGGAGACAACACATGCGGGTACACGTCCTTTTAATAGAAAAGCCAATTTTTTTCAAATAATCATACATCTGTTGATAATAATTAAATTTAAAACAAATCAGCTTCTTTTATTCCTTTGATTTATATGTTAAAGAATTTTAAACAGTCAGTATCTCTACACATATGTTGCCAATGTGTGCTGAAAATATGAGATTCAAAAAAATTATATAAATTATTTAGTTACCTATGCAATACGGATAGATTGATCATATTTCTTAGACATATCTAAATTCTAAACCCTCATAAAAATGTTTATTATTATTTAAAGACACATCCTTGTCTAGTATTTTGAATAATAACGAGGAATATCTAACTAGGTTGATATATTATATTGAATAAATATTTTTTTGGCATTCCAATTTTGTTGTATAACAATTATGAAAAATTTAACAAAACATTAATGTGGCCTTTTACTTATATTTGTCTTATTCTTCTAAAAATCTGGTTACTACTTTATAAGGTTTCATTAGTCGTTGCATTAAATTTTAAGGTACTTACTCTGAACAAAATTACTCTTTTTTCTCTGCTAAAAATATTAGCTGTATCTACCTATTGATGAATAACTATCATTTGCTACAGTATAATTTTATAATGCTTACATTTTTAAATTAATAAAATACATAAAATAATATAGTTATAGAAACTTATGTAAAAAAATATATATTTTTGTTATTTTTGTTGTTTTGGGAATTTTCAATAGTTCCAACTCTTTTACAGACCAGATGTTCTTAATCTACAAGTCAAATGTAACTTATGGGTGATAGGAAGGGGATTAAAATATTTGTATTTTATTTCATTTTTTTTTTTTTTTTTTGAAATGATTTTGTAAAAAAATATTATAATTATTCTTGATTATCAAAATTTTATGATCAGCCATTTATTAATAATACAATTATTATTAACTACGTAGAAGTTGTTTGTCTCACTTTAAACTCAATGTCGACAATAATAATCTTAATATGCCATAAAAACTTTAATACCAAGTAAAACTAATTACTGCTACAAAACCATTGTTGTGTTTCTTTGAAAGTTATTATGTATTTTGTATTGTGTTAAATTATTAAAAATTGAAAATCAAAAACTGATTGATAGGAAATATAATAATTTACCTATTATGGAGTGAATTAGTTGGGCCATAGAGATAAATTACATTAAATTGATTTTTTTATTATAATTTTTTCATAGCAAATATTTTCTTTAAACAAATTAAATATAAGACTTAAATATAGCCTTTAAATTTAACTGAAGTATTTTTTTTTTATTTTCTTTTACTACAATATTATGATATAATAGCTCATAACAAAACTATAATGATTTAATGGTTTTTTTTTTTAGAATAGGTTTTATTTTTCAAATTTTTTTGTATTAGCTACAGATATTTATATTTAGAAAATATTTATGACTTATTTTTAATTAAACAACTTTTTTTCTTTTAATTTATACTGATAAAATCATAATTAAATTTATTTTTATTTTAATAATAAAGTGCATAATTTAAAAAATATTTTTATTTCATAGATTTATATTTATTGTTGTATAACTAATGAACAATAATAATGAAATCAAGTCTCTGTTTAATTTAATATTTTAAATTTGTACAGTAATACATTCATTTTAAAGCTAAAAATCTATTTTTATTTATATTTATAAGAATCCACAGCAACAATGATCATGGACTAAATATTTATCTTAATCTTAATTATGTATAATAGTAATTAATCATAATGTAATTTTGTATGCATCTTTTCTTATTTTTATTTTCAATTTTATTTTAATTTACATAAATATCATACTAATATATATATATATATATATATAAATTTAATGTTGTATATTATATATTAAATTAAGTTACTAAATAGTTAGATTGCTTTGTCTTAAACGTGTGTTTTTTTATTATTATTATTATTTTTTTTTTTGAAGAAGAATTAAATACTTTAAAATTTATTTAAAATTACATTTTGGAAGATTGGCTTATTTACTAATATTACAATAATTTGATAACTATGCATGTAAGAAAGCTTTAAAAATAAATTTTGCTTGGAGAAATATTATTTTAATTATATCTACTATTTACAGATATATGTTATATAATATACGTATTTTAGTAGGTACCGTAGATTTAAGTTGTTGCAATATTTATAAGTTTAAGTAAATTATTTTATATATTATTCATTAAATTATTCGCAAACAAGCTTATTATTTTATGGTTGGTGAAGTAACGTATAGTAACTCTATAGATCCACTACAAAATTTAGTGAACGGCTTTAAAATTCACCCTATCGGTATATACTATATTATGCTTTATATAATAATAAAATATCTAGTACTTTAGTATACGTACAACTAAAAGGCTTAGAATGGCACCGACATATATCTTTCTTCCAACAATTTTGTTCTTTTGGTGTGCTATCCGTTCCCATACATCTGTTAATTCTGGCAAAACTTCAAGTGGTATTACCAACCAAGTTCTCTTCTCTCGACCAACCAGTATAAAGTAAATCTAATAGTAACAATATTTCACAAATTTCTGTAGACATTTTCAAAAATTACTTGATGTTTCGTGCAAATCACTTTGCTCAAAACAAATAAAAATTATTGATAATCACAGACCTAGTTGAAAATAAACTATAGATGTAACGCATGTGTACTTAACGAGCGTGTGGCGATTTTTATAGCTGTGATAAACCATAAAATAAACTTTATACAGACATAGTTAAAAATTCTTGTTTAGTAATTATTTTTACTAATTAGTGATAAAAAACAAAAGAATTATGATATAAAATCGATAAAAAATAAAATAAACTAAAGATAAAATTCGTTCACGTTATTTTAGTGACAATAGAACCATAAAAATGTAATTTTAACATAGGTACAAAGAGGTATAGATGTTTTATGTACCTACGCGATACACGGAAGCTTTAACTTTAATGCATCACATTGCAGACCTCGGGCAAACTGCGGATTACTATAGTACAGTTGGTATAGATGAGCAATAATGTTGTTGTATGATGAAAAGTATGGTAGAAGCTACCATCAGAACCGGAATAGACTGAAATTTTATACTTTGTACGTTAAATCAGTAATAATTGCGTTCATTAACAATTATTTCATACAGAGATCCCGTTGCAATGCGTTGGAATATAATATACCTAAAACAAAACAAGAATACGAGCAAACGCACCTCATCATACCACGTCATCTCGAATAACGTATACCTACCTACTATACAATAATATTGTAATCGACTTCAACGAAATCATTATTATTTATAAATTTTCATGAATTAATTATAAAGTAATAGATATGGTTAAAAATGTGTGCAAGCATATTCAAGCATATCAATAACCAAGGTCACGATAATAAATTTTAGCGACAGAATACAATATTATTGTCGACTCTGTGAACAATATGCTATGATTTGCATTGGCAACAGTAAAAACTTTTAATATTATTATGGCGACTACATTCGTCGCATACTTATATTATACCACTCGAAGTAGGTAATATATTTTATGTATTATCAGCGTAATGGCATTCTGCGTGTTACGCCGATGTTTAAATAACAATAATATTGATTAAAAAAAAATAAATATTAATAAAAAATAATAATAATAATATTAGTGTAATACTGACGCTAACGTAAGACCGTATGATAATTTTGGGTAGCTGGAATGCAAGCGATGGTATGTATAAAATAGGATGTACAAAATGAGTTTCACATTGGAAAATTATAGATGGATATGAACGTTGTGTGTGTGTGTGTGTGTGTGTGTGTGTGTGTGTGTGTGTATTATAGTTGATGATTTTTGTTTTCAAAAAAAAAAAAAAAAAAAATACTGTTCTCCGGCTGTCGAGAGGATGAAGGGGAGGGGGACCACGTCCTAGGGAAAGTCTTCTTGGCGCGCACTTGGCACGGCGCAGGTCATCAGCTATAACGGCACCTTCTCCGGTATATAGCTCTTCTAAGTTTAAACTACTCTTTTAGTCAATTGCCGAAGCTCAGTACGCGCATTTAAGAGTTGACTGAATAGTTGGAGAGTCGTGCAACTGCTGCAGTGTGTTCGGTTTGCTGATTCGCGTGCGTTTACCATCAAATATTCCGTGCGTGCGTGCCATTACATAGTGTTGCGAGTTACAATTTTTTTTTCCATCGATTCGCGACTGCTGTTCGGATCGTAAGCCGTAAATCAATTCCGTTTTGCGGAATTTACTGACTTCTAGAAGACTTTTTATTAAATACATTTCAAAGGTTAGTGTTTTTCTTCTTCGCTATACGATAAACATAAAATAAATATATACATATTTTTAAATTCGTACGCTTTAATCAACAACAATAATAGGCCACAACAAATAAAATATTTACCATAATATATTACATAGTGTTTCAAAGGATCGTGTCGTTTAATCGAAACGCCAATTTCAGCGGTTCGATAAATAAGAAAAAAATTTAAATAATAATATAATATATTTTTAATTTGGCGTGTAGACTCGGACTGAGATTACCCTAAACATTTTAGGATGTATGCGAGCCAGGATGAAAAATATTTTAAACGACCCCTGGATACTACCACGATCTCCATTAGTGCCCCTAATGAGGTCAGCGATGTCAAGTCGCCTCCTTCTCGCAATCTATCGGTGAGAATATTATTACTTCTTGTATGAATTCCTCCACTCGTGGATTCTGGGATCGCACAAAACGCAAACGCTTTTCCAGGTTGTCGTTATACGAGTTGGCAAATCAAAGGCGCTTATTGTTAGCTTGGTGTTTTATTTTATTTGTTAATCGGTTATTTCTTTTTTTTTTTTTTTTACGCCAATTCAAGTATAATATATATATCTGTTATATATAATATTATAATACAATATAAATCGAATAAAACGATGGCGAAAAAAAGAAAAAAGAAAATACACATAAGTAGACGTAGTGCCGTAGTAATAAATACACTATAAATATTATCATATTATATAGCAATAGGGTACACGCGATGTGGTGGTTCTGTGACGGGTTTGTTAGCGGTGTTTTGGGAACGCGCCAAGGTTCAAGGTGATTTTATACCAATAATAATAAATTATTACATAATGATTCAAGTATACACTTGAACCAGTTTTGAGTCGGTGTCGCAGACGTGTGTAGGTCAGCGACATGCTTCTGCCACGTTTCTGGGTGACGGTTAAATAAAAAGTCGACCTTAAAGAAAAAAAAACCGTTAAACTTGAAATACCGAGTGCCGGCCGATGCCCTCTTCTCTGAACACATATAGTTATCACACAATGTTCGTATATATGTACTTTAGAAACTACAGGGTCGTAGCCACGAGGACACGGTTTTTTTTTTTCAAGGTCTCGATTCTTTATATTTTTGAAAGATACTTTTCTAAGCGCGGCGTCCCCCGAACCCCAAACACAGCGTTAACGAGGGGGCGCCATAAACAACAGGCGTGTACATAATACAATCAAAGCGTAGATCATCGTATGTGTGTGTGTATGTGTGTGTATTTATATGTATAACGACATAGCGTGTTTATTTGTGCCGCGATGGTGTTACAGATGATAAAATGGGTGCTGATCGTGAGTCTAGGGTGCTGCGCGCTGATGTACAGCGCCAGTTCATCGCCTATCGTTAGCTCGACGTCCGAACCGGAACAGGAACATCATAACGCGAACGCGGCCGCACCCGAGACAGCCGACAAGCTGGTAGCCACACCACCAGAAATCGGAAGACAGTCGGTAGAGACGTCCGCTGTGCAACCGGCCCCTGTTTCTGAATCCGTTCCGGTGGCTCAGCCGTCTGCACCCGCCGCTGTCGCGCCGGAAGCGTCCACTGACGACGACGACGATGACGATGATGACGACGATGATGACGTAGTCGACTTGGACATCACCGGTGACGACGACGACGACGACGACGAGGAAGAAGAAGACGATGACGACGATGACGATGACGATGACGACGAGGAAGAAGAAGATGTGCCACAACCAGCCAGTGCAAACGCCGTCAACGGTGCCGCCGATCCAGCGACTGCTGCTTCCGGATCGAATTCCGGTAGCGCTGCCACAGCTACCCCTGCAGCCGCGAGTTCCGGTGGCGACGACGATGACGACGATGATGAAGACGAAGACGACGATTACTTCGACAGATTCTTCGAAGATATCCTCGGAGGTCAGTTTTCGATTTACACGCTTAAATAATATTACTTTTTCACGTACGCAGTATAATTGTATGGCAATGTATTTGAACGTCACTAGACGATCTCTTCTATTGTCTTTAAACGCTGCACCGTCGAATGAGACGATAATAATAAAAAAAAAAAAAGCTCTAAGTCGGATTCTAATTACACCCGTTTTGTGTAGGGTTGAATGTAATATTCAACTTGTATGAAACGTATAGTGTAAATCCGGTTTAAAGCGGCACTTAATTTTTCTACGCCACGTACTGTATATTATATTTCTCACCTCATTTCGCGTGAATATTTAGGGTTGGGCTTTTCTCCGGTTTTAATAATTTATAGATACTTTAATATACGTCCATATATAGATATAAAATTAAAAATACAAAGTACGTGATTCGCTATCATTGCGTTTGAAAAAATATTCGCGTTGGACTTGACGTTTTCTCAGTGTCGATTAAACGTGTTCGATTTCCTACTACTGCGTGTTCTGCCAATCAAGGTTAGATTACTAACCGGCTCGTGTGAACTGTTCTATACCGAAAACAATGTTGAAGCGTCGGTTTAACCGTGCGCTGTGTCCATCAGATCGGATCGATATCCGTTTCCAGTTTGTCGAACCAGATGACACGCTATTAAATCGATTAAGTACACAAGGCGGACAATGGAAGCGGACAGTGGTAACACCGGCTCCCCGATCACCCGTTGAGAGTGCCAAACGTTTTGACGATTTCGCCTGTTCGTATTCTAGGCGACCACTATTTTCTACGATTGTAAATTTCTCGTGCCAAACGTACGATATACGAACGCGTTGTGATAATATCATTCGGCAAAAAAAAGAAACTCGAAAACCAATAACTAAATAAATACGTTTCTCTCAATTTCGTACGGAGAAAATCCGATCTCGGATACGATATATGTCATCGTCGCGCACGCGTCTCTAACTAATAATATACATCTGCAGCATTCTGTATAGTGAGCATAGTTATTACATCCCAGCAATGGTACGTGGCTGTGAAAATCGCTGTTGTGCACACTTTTTATAATAATATTATTTGCTTTACAATTGTTTTATTTTTCGTTGCACATCATCATCATTATCATGTTTTTCTTCTTCTTCTTCTTCTTTGCTCGCTTTACACACCTGATAACGGTGACTCGATAAACAATGATTAATACTCTCGATCGTTGACACCGAAAAATCATCACAAAAGCACTACATATTACCAAAACAAATTGCGAACAGTGAACAATGCAAAACTGTAAACATAAACACATAACAATTATGTTTTATAGTAATTTTTATTTAATATTGCTTTTCACACCAGTTTCATAACAGTCACAGGACGAGCATTGTATATATATTATATATATATATATATATTTATACTACTACCATAATATAAATGTATATATAATATATAGTTCAACGACATAAATGTAATATTTTTCACTCATCCATTTGATCATTTCATTTATTCAAGTTAAAATAACCAACTACGATGTGTATAAAATTCGGCCAAAATTCGTCCCCGATCGTATCGTTAAGGAATTATACGAAACGTTATCATAAGTAAAGTTAATAAAAATATATGAACTATTATTTTTTAATTTTTTTATTTTTTAAATGTTTCTATGACCTTTGCGTCTACTGTATCAACTCGAGTCTTGTAAAAAGCCATTTATTCGACGTACAATATCGCGTTATTATCTTTCAAAGTAATTTTAATTTCTAGACCGCTAACGATCAGCGGACCTTTTATATCTTAGAATTTATCAATCCGACGAGGACAAATTTTGGTTCAGTTTTTTTTTTCATTTTCCCCAGTTTTTTTTCTTTTTTGATGTACGTGTAGCATGTCGCATGCCATATAACGTACCTATCTATATTCTATATATGCCATCTATTGGAATCTATGACACGAGTGTAATTTGGGCATTGTGTGTCTGTTTGTTTTTTTTAGGTTGATCGAACCCGATCGACCGCGGGAGACTAACAATTACAGAAACATAACATCAAGATACGACAATGTGTACATTAAAAAAATCTATGTATACACATTTTTACATTGTATATGACATGTGAAAAACAACATCGAGAAACACATCTCACTACTTAACGGACTCGATCAAAAACACTTTGATATACAATAAAAAAAAAACCAACAACAACTACAACAACGACAACAAAAACATAGATTTAAGAATGTAAAAACAAAACTTATTTATTTAAAGTTTTTATTTATTTATTTATTTATTTATTAATAACTTATTTTAGATATTAGAAATTCAATATTTCAACGCTATAATATTACACCTATAATTTATTTTTATACATATACATACCTAATAATTTATAAAATATATATATATATTTATTTACGACAATTTGTTACCAAACAACAACTACTCGAATAACGAATACAATATACATACATAAATATGAATATAATAATATTATAGTGTGTCATTTAATAACAGTCAAAACAAAATTATGTGAATTCGTGTTCAATATAGAGCGTAAGATTTATTATTAATAATATCTTTGAGTGTCATAACGAATTATTATTTATTTATTTATTTTTTTTTTATCAAACATTTTAAAAAAAAAACACATGGCTGTGATAGCAAATATTTCAGCAAATAAACAGATTTGAATACATTGAAACCACGTTATGTTATTATGATTTAAATCCGCACCATACGATTCGTATACACACGCCGAGTAATATTAGACAGCATCGTTACTCGTTATCGTAGCGTGTAATATTATCAATTATAGTACCTGTATACGGTTAAGGTATGAAAAAAAAAATAATAAAAAAAAAAAAAACAATAACGGTGAAGGTATTTTACGCACACATTTACACACAACACTGACATACACACACCACACATATACACGATAAACGTAGTGTTTTGCTTTATACTGTGCGTGGTGTAGTGATGTATATCTGAAGGGTGTGGTGGTGAAATGTTGCGCAAACTCGCAAGAACTTTGCAAGGAATTTCGTTGGAAAAGCCTTATTCCGTTATATTATATGTAATATATATAATATATATATATATATATTATGTATAATATTGTTATCTAATATGCGTTTCCTGTCCAAGCACTACGCATTATATCTTCATACTAACTCGACGCCAAACTATTATTATTATTATTATTATTATTATTATTATTATTATTATTACTATGATAAGCGCATAAATCCACGTGCGTATAATACCGTTAATACATAATATCTCATATCGACCAAATACTATAACCTCCTATAAAATTATAATAATAATAATAATAATAATATATATCGATTGATATCGTGATTTAGTTAAGATACGCGATGATGTATAGTCTGTAAGTATAAATCAAACACATATATTATATTATAATACGCTGATGTATGGCTTAAAGTTCAGTTTTTCACTTTTCACTTGAAATTCAACCACGACGTGTGCAAAGACGTGACGCGAGGTATATTATAATAATAAAAATAATACTTATTCTTCGCTATAAAACGTCGATCCGCGGGTTTGGTCGAATCTCGATCGTACAAAATATCTCGATTGTGGAAATATTTTCGTGTGATAGGGATAAAAAAACGTTCAAAATCCGTATACAAATAGACCACTACACACATACCTATAATATGATATACAATAACCATATAATAATATATACTATCGTCGTACTGTGAGCTGCAACCCGGCGATGAAGACGACGAGAAAATGAAGGCGACTCCGGCGACGACGAGAGCACGAAGGAAGTATGCAATTATTGTAGTACCTACATAATATAAAAGGGACATTACGTCTTCGTCATCAGGTAAAAAAAAAAAAAACAACAAAAAAACAAAAAACGAAACAAATCGGTGTATTATATTATAATATTATATAACTTATATTACCTAAGTGTGCTATCTAAACTTCGCAATGTTCGCGGCCGCCGAGAGGATGCGGGTTTGTCAGATTTTTTTGTAAATACAAAATAATTAAAATCGCTTATATTATAATATTATAATTATTTATTATTATTAACAAAAATGTCGCGTTAGTATATTAACATTATTATTATTATTATTATTATTATTACATATTATTATTGGTATTGTTATTGTCATTGTCATTGTTATTGTTGTCGTATCGTACACGATATCATAACATCATAGTGGACGAAAAATAACGGACGTTGTTGTTCTTGTGTATTGCATGACCTCAGACGACGACGAAGAAGACGAGACGTCCTCGTTGAGCACGCTGGCGTTCGGACAGTCGTCCACCACGGCGGCGCCCGCGCAGGGCCTGTCCGTGTCCACGCCCGCCGACGACTCGTTGGACTACGGGGCAGCCGGCGACGGAGCCGCCGCGTCCAGCGTCAACTACGACGACGCCGGTAACGTGGACGACGCGTCGGCTGCTGACCCGGACGGACCGCACACCGTCACGCTGCTGTCGCCTGTTCCCAACGCACGCGGGATCGTCGGCGGACGAGGACGGTGTCGCGTCCGTCGGGTCGCTGCCGTACTGGCCGTCGATCACGCCGGCCGCCCACGGCCGAGCCGCGCGAGCGCGTGACGACGATGACGACGACGACGAAACGTCGGCCGCGGCCACGGGCGGCAGCGACGACGACGATGACGACGACGACGACGACGACGACGATGACGACGATGACGACGACGACGACGACGAGTCCGGCGAAACCAGGACCGCGGCCAAAGGCCGAGCGCGTGAGTGCATACACAGACTTCCGGTAACTTTCGTCCGGTTACGCCTCCACCGCATCCGCCGCCGTTAGGTTTCACTACTACGAATCGATAACCCGTGATCGTTTTTTACTCCTTCGGGCCACATTTCGCCAGCGACGATTTAGTTGTTAACCCCCCTCCCCCCTCCCTCGCCGACTAAAATCGTTAGGTTCTCTAGTCGACTCCTGTCGTCCTGTGTGACCACAAATAATATAATATATGTTGCCCACTACACACGACGTGTAGACGTGGCTCTATATAAACACTTTAAACAGCGGTGGAACGCTTGCTCGCTACCTTATGTCAAATTATACGACTTTTTGGACCTTATTTGTCGGGTAACACGATAATCGCTAAAGAAACAGCGAGCAAATTTATGGTAGGTACACGCCACGTGCGATTTTGTTGGTCTCACATCAATACAATATGTGTATACACGCAAAGTGCATCGGTGTATAAAACGCAATGACGAGTGACGATCGATCAAATCGCCATCGCTAAATCATTTAAAATACGAAAAACATCCTAACAGTTAACGAGTCGTCAGGTGTAACGTTCTCTGATTTGCGCCGACTCCGACGGCCAATTAACAATTTATAATATTATAATTAATATAACATAATACGGTGCCTACTACATTTACCGCGTCGTACAGTATTATTATAGATTGAGGCGAATACTTACGCCACATCGAGCTCGTTTCCCCCAAAACTTTTGCGGTGATTTATCATCAACTCACTTCGCGTACGATTTTCCAACACACGGCGGGTACGATACATATACGAACTGCAGTGATTAATTACAATATTAGGTAGGTATAATATATTGTATTTTGTTTATAAACCTCTGAATGGTTTGTACCGTGTGTATTAATTTTGATTTTTTTATCCTTTTTATTTCTGTATGTATTTTAACACGTGTAATTTATTCAGTCCTATAAAATTTCAATGATCCAATAAGTAAACGAACGCTGTGCATACTTCAATCAAGCCCGTGGTGATGGTGGTGGTTAAGTATGTAATATCGATACAATAAGGAAATATTAATTATACAAATGAGACACTCGATCGCGTTACACGATATCATATAGTAATAAGTACAATATTTTATAATTATTTTCATTCTACTTCGCCTTATACGCAAATTCTCTCGAGCTATTTTTCAGGAACTATATAATCAATATATTATGAAACACACATAATTATTTTTTGTGTAAAAAAAAAATGACTAAGATTTAACGTGATGCACGTTGAATTTAACCTCAACTTTATACTAATTATTTTAGATCTTGTTTGGATGTACAATTACTACATTTTTACACGATAGAACCGTTATAACCAGTTATGCTAACTAACAACTATAACACTATAACCTATCTTAATGTTCACATTTCAATATATTTATATGTTAAAATTTACATTCAATCTTTTGCTGTCGTTGACCAACGACCGTTTTCACTCCAAACTATGTACAAATCGTGTACCAATCGAATACGATTAGCTATACAGCCGTAACGATAATAATAATATTTGCCAAGACTATGGCCCTAGAAAGTTGTACCTAGCTTTGCAGATAAACGTAGATATTATACATCCGTATCCGTATAAAGGCGAAAGGACTGATAAAATGACTAGTACGTATACCTGTCTCACGTATATACTCAGCGAAAACGAGCTTAGAATGTGACGTCACCAATTCCATGTTATCTCAAAATGAATGAGAGACTGAGAAAGAAGAAAGAGAGAGAGAGAGAGAGAGTGAGTGAGTGAAAGAATGAGAAGGAGAGAAAAGGTGATTAAGAGAGCTACGGTTAGAAAGAGTATATAAATATACTCATAAATAATAATTATTATTACCTGCGCCAGTCCTAATCCTCGGGTACCCAACTACTTGTACCATTATTAACTTTCAAAGAAAGGAAAATGGAAATGTCTGCATTTTTTCAACGGGTGAATAAATCATTTAAATTAAAATAAAAATTCTCAATATCATTACACGTACAATAGAACTTATACTATTATTTAATAATTTATTAAAACCAATAAAACCTACACATCTCTATTGTCTTTCATTTATTTTCTTACGATCTGGCATACATAGAAAATGTACACCACACTGTTGATCCGTATTTAAAAGGAGGAATGTATTATTAATTATTATAGGTAGTGCCTATGCCCTATACACTTACTTGTACACGACCTGTCCACGTCCAGTGGTATTCCGGAAACCTACATCCGGATGCGGGCGCGAAGACGGGCGCGGGCTCCCACCGAAACAGGTTCAAGGATGTGACCTCCATATCGGTCGCGTATATGTGTCGACCATGTGGGCGTGCCGGGACGGCGGACGCTATATATAGCTAGCAGCTGCGTAGAAAGCAACCGGAATCGTAGACATACACACGACGTGTTGTTTATATATTACACGTTGTGTACGTGTGTACTCCGATAGAATATTATAATGCAGTATATATGTATAAGATATACGCCGCCAATACAACGACGATGTCGTGTCCCACGAAAATCATTTCTCCAGAAAACTGGTACTTTCTAAATGGCCGGGACCCGCAGCCGCCCCCGGGGAAATTTCTCTCGGATCTCCACCAAGGTGGGTACCCCATGTACAGTACACTCGTAATTGTATCTCGACTCAGTGTTAAATGTCTACTGTTTTACTTTCAATCACATTTACAAAAGCCGTTTTCATCTGCCGATTACTTAAACGCGTTCTACGATTTTTTTTTCTTATCAAAAACGATTAATTTACATTTGGTCCGTTGCGATGGTTTTTATTACTTTTTTTTTTACGAATATAAATGTGTGTACAGGTGTCGCATGCGTTACGCATTTTCGGAAGCCTGCTATAGTAACTTCCAGTCACGATCCAATAATAATTCACCAAATTAAAATCACTTTGTTTTTGTACTCTGCACTTACGCACAAGACAATAGCATCGAGTGACTCGACGCGCATTTGACAACGATTGTAATAATATAATTGGTTTCAGTTTATAATCGAATAGAGAAGAAGGCCCGTAATACATACGCTGATCCAACAATGTTTGTCTGACAATTAATGATCTGTGACTTCTTAATAATATAATTACATTAAACGTTCAATTTTCAAACGTACATTTAATTAAATTAAAATCATCTTACTCAATGCGTTATGATTTTTATGGTTATTGATTAACATTTGAATTAATAATATGTTACATATCTATTTTATGTTAGGAAAATTACATGAACTTTCTAATAAAAACGTAGACAATATTTTTGAAGAAAAATGTAAATGTAGGTACTACATTTTTTTTTTTTTTTTTTTTTTTTTTATCAATTTTAGTGCTCAAAACATATTTCACTCAATTTATTACATACTGTATAGGGTACACGTAATTTTTACAATCTTTTCCATAGTGTATGTTAGAATTTTTATATTTTCTTTCGAACCCTAGATATTATTATAATATTGATAGACTTCCGTTAAAAAAAAGTATTTGCATTTATATGAGTTATAACCTATATTATATAGACAGGAAAATAGAATGGCATAATCATTTTTCTATAATACTTACAATTATTCTAGTCGAACAACCATTTTTGAGAAAGAAAATAAAATGTTGAAATTCAATATTTAAATAACCAACAACGTGAGCTTTTTTCCTGTTTCTATAAAATGTGATGTTATTGAATTGTTGTATGCAATAAATGTGGTTGGTGCGTGTATTACGTTTATTACAATAATGCTGCGTGGTACATTAATTTAACATAAATAATATATTAAAATATTATGACTGATATCATAACGTTATACTTACAATTTTTTTTTTTTTGTATATTTTAAATACCTAACCCTAGATTTTTTTTATTCAGTAGTTAAAAAAAAAATAATTATGTGGGCGAAATTTGCGTGCACGACGTGTAATCATTTACTGTAAAACAACAAGCGGTTTTGTAGATGTAGCTGACGAATGACGATAAAACTTAACTTGAAACGCATTGCACCAAGCACGCTCGTAACATGAAGTCAGCTGATCATCGTGATCGCTATCACGTTCGCCCTTAGGGGCTGAATAAATTTCCAAAGATCTGTATAAACATCAAACAAACATATGATAGGATGTGCTATTTGATAATATCGAAAAATTATTCTCGTATAAAAATAGATTTATCTTTTAACAAGGAAATCAAGCAGTATTTTTTTTTCTTGTTTTATAGTCAACTGTTCATTTTTTTTTTTTTTTTTTTGTGTTGAACTCTAATAAAAACCAAAACCAGCTAAGTAAAATAAACCGGATAAACCAAATACGTGTACCGTGTACCCACTAACAGTGTCGAACATGTTTTATTATAATATTATGATATTCGTCGACATCTATATCGACTAGATATAATATACATGATATCATTATACTATGCACACAAATAACGTAAGTCGATAGCAATATTTTAATTTTACTAGCCGTCCGTGGCATTTAAACGCGTCTCCGAAAAGTACGTCACCGTCGCACAACACGTTTCCGGCACGCGAATCCTTAAACCTCCAGTAAAAGACGTTTTCAAAACGTACGTTTTGAACGGTCGGGACGTTTTCGCGGTTTTTATAGCCCTTCGTAGCGTATAAGTCGCGATGACAGTAATACGTGTTTACATAATTTCACGTCATAGAATACGGTTAGCGGACGAAAACGCTAGGTCGCGGACTGGGCGCGAATCGTTAATTATTATTTCAAATGCGCGCCGTCCGGTGTGTGTGTGTGCACGGCGTGCGGTTTTAATATTAATCGTCATCTATTCTAGTGCAATAATAATAATAATAATAATAATATGATAATGTAGGTATAAACATATTTTATTTTCGAACACAAATAACGTTCGATTGCGGCGGTGCCGCGTATATTTGCCACAGCCGTCGTCGTCGGGTTCGCGCAGGAATGCAGTTATCGAATTTTAAGGAGGCCAAACTAGTCGTGCGCCGTTGTCT